GAAGAGGCGTGCAGAGCTGGGGGCGCGGAGACCGTCTCGGAGGGGCAATCGGGCCTTTGGATTGGGGCCGGAGCACACGCGGGGTTTTAAGTAGCCAGATGCCTAGGGCGGGACTCTCAGGGGGTGGATTTTCCGGCCGCAGACCGTGCAGCGGTTACGAGGTGGGGAGGTCCCTGGCGAGGGAGGAGTCCGAGCTGGGCTGCTGCTGCGGAGAGGCCCGCGGGGTCGAGCTGCCGGCCGGCACTCCGGGTCAGAGGGAGACAGAGAGTGGGGGTCACCGGGCGGACGCCCAGGTGTGGGATCTCACTGGGTTGGGAGAACTGGAGGCGAGGCACGCGATGGCCTGGAGGGGAGGTCCTCCTTTGGGGCATATGCCTTTGAAGTGTCCTTGGGACAGACATTGAATCTGGGGACCTGGAAGTAGGAACGGGACCAGTGATGGGAATGGGTGAGCCGGGAAGCGACAAGGTGGATGGCTCGAAAGGCCAGCACTTGGCCGAATTTGAGGCAAGAGGAAGTCAACCTCACTGCCCTTGAGTCGCTGCCAACTCAGGGTGAGCCTGCTGTGGGGCAGAGCAGACCCACTACCTAGGGTTTCCGAGACTGTGGGTCTCTAACAGAGCCCTCCGCCTTCTCTTTCTCCCGCCCGAGTGGCTGCTGGCTTGGAACCGTCTACCTGGCGGTCGGCAGCCCGCCGCTTAACCCACTGTGCCACTAGGGCTCCTTGAAGAAGCTAAAGGACCAGAAAATGGAGAGGGTCCCCTTGGTCTGAGCCTTCCCCTGTGATGAAGCCCACACTCCATGTCCAGGTGGGACCAGGTGTGAGCGCCCGCCTTCCGGAGTCGGCAGCACTACTTCCCCGGCGGAGCAAGGAGCGCTCCACAGTATTCGCTGGATTCCTAAGGACCCGGCGAGGGCCACCTTCCTTCCGCGCCAACTGCGTGCCCCTGTCGCCCTCAGCTCTGCCCGCAGCCATCTCCGAACCTGACCCGGATGCCACCCGCCCCGCCAGGCCGGCGGTCACCTTGCCCCGCATCGGCCGCAGGCGTGTCCCGACGGCTGCCTCCCCCACCTCCC